CGGGGATTTTGCTACTTTAAAAATGCTCGGGCCGCCGTGGGACTTTGCGCCCAGCTTTCATGGGGGGCGTCAGCCTCCCCCACGGCCCGAGCGGTGCTAATGTCCTGCCCAGGGTGCAGCCTGGCAGTAACAAGGAAAGGGGGGGGGGCGCCGCTCTGGCTTTCAAGGGAGACGGATCAATGGGGCCACCCCACCTGGGCTTATGTCACCCGTCCTGGACCAGATCCAGTTCCACAGCAGCCTGGCAATGAACTCGGTGGGAAGGGCCCCAAGGGAGGAAAATATGTATCCAGCCAACCGCACGGCCTTAAATCGACTCCTCGGAGGCGCGGTGTAAATTCTGAGGGTGCAAGAGCGGGAGGGGGTGCAGAGAATTTTTTTTCTCTTACTAAAATTTGCTCACTGGGAAAAGTTCAGTATAGGTACCCCCACTACGTCACAAGGTGTGTGGTAGATACAGGGGAGGTGTGAAGGGGATACAGGGGAGGTGTGAGGTGCCTACACACACCTATACACACACACAGATATATAGCTATAGCTATAGATACATTAGTGAGATACTGACCCCAGACCAGTCAATGACAAATTTCCCATTGACTTTGCATTTCGCTCTTGATCTTACCGGGGAGGATTCAAAGCGAAGGATTTGAAGCTAGCCGGTGCGCAATGAAAATACTCGTGTTGCATGACACGTAAAACTGCCTTCTCCAGCGATCACAAACACGGATCTGGGCAAAGAAGGCGGGATGGAAAAGTGCGGAGAAGTCTTCTAGCAAACCGGGACATGTCTGGGATGTGGTGTGACTCCCACACAGCATAAATCTATGTCAGCCCCGGTTAGCTGAATGGGCCCCAGAGCACCTTGTAACATACATCTCGGGCCACGTCGCCCCCGGAGCCCCCTGCCCTCCCCCACAGACTCTAGATGGCCGTTTGCTCCTGGGGTGCTGGCATTGAGGGTTACTCCGAGATACGGATCCACATTCGCAGGCAAGCGAGCAAGTGAACTAAGCCGATTTACACCGGGAGAGAATCCAGCTTTAACCGGGACAGTCTGGCTGTGGGAGCCAGTGTTACACGCCGAGCCAAGGTGCTCGGAGCTGGGGCCGTGCACGGTGCTGTACAGCGGGGACCGTGCCCCAGGACTCAGTGGGGTTTCTAGCCCGGGGTTAGGTCCCCTCCTCTGCATTCGCTTCCCCTCTCGTTGGGTCTGGATTCCCCTCCCCCTTGCAGAGTGCCCTCAAGCCCTTGGTTGTTTGCTGCTGATGCCTGTCCCAGGCATCCGGCTGCCTCTCAAATGCGGACGCACAAGGGAGACTTCCCAGCGCAGCGGATTCGGAAAGGCGGGGCCGTGCTTGTGTGTGAATCGGATATTTGGGGCGAGCGGTATTTCGGGGGGGATGGAGGGGGTTGGACCGTGGCCTCCTTCTGGAGCTGGGGCGACAGAGGTCTGGTTTATCCCACTTGGGAGCGGGTTGGTGATTTGAGCGTGACTCCTGTTTCAGTGCTAGAGACGGGCGAACCGAATCGCTTTGAACAGAGGTTGGAAAACATGCTGGACAAGAACCATTGCATCTCATTGATCCATAGCTGATAACAAGATAGGGGCTTGTTTTGCAGCTACCAATGGGCTTTTCATCTTTCCGGTTGCGATCTCGAAAAAACAGGTTAATTCTTTTCTCTTTGCAGGTTGCTATAGGAATGCATTTCCAATGCTACTTTCCTATTACAATCAAGCTCCAATGTGTAGACATTTTTTTAGCATAGTTTCAATTTGAGATCAACATTTTTAGGGAGAGCTAAAGACTACTCTCTTGAAAGAACTGAATTCTGTTCCCAGTCTTCTTTTCAAAGCAGTGAAACACTTTCCTTTCAAAGCAATGTTTAAGTCAAAATAAAATAGGAGAATTGGACTAGACAATTGTACAAATGATTTCTTCGTAAAGGTACATTGTAACCAACTCCAGTTTTGAATTTTTCAAGCCGTGATTATGGAGGAATGGACACGTTTAAACTCTGATCTCTTGTAGGAAATTTGGGAGATAATGTGTTGGTTTTTAAATGGCCAGAGCTGTTATTTTAACAGGAAAATTGTTATTATCTGTGACCCTGTACTGCACCAGGAGAAGTGTAGTATAAGGAGTTTATATGCACGTAATGACATTTTATGGGTAAAGAACAGGCCACATGCATTCCATGTATTTCAGGCTGCTTTTGTTGGGTGGTTTAACAATTATTTTGCCTCCAACGAGCACGGAAGTTGTGTTATAAAAAGTCAAGACGGCCCTGAAAATCACCTGGATTCAACAGTGTTCGTTCAGAAATGGCTCGGATTCGGTTGCTACTGCATCATCCTCACGGTCAGCTGGTTTACTTTTGGAAAAAGCGGACCACTAGGGAGTGAATTTAGTTTGCACGGGAGCGGTGGGAACGGAAGTGTTTGGGAGGTCCTAGGGGCAAATGAGAGTTGGTAAAACGTTGGCGTTTCACTGTGTGGCTGCTAAGTGGCTTCCCTGGAGGGTGGCAGGCTGGCTCCCACTCAAATCGAAGTAAAAATGCCGTTGGCTCCGCGATCTATGGGCGGAGGGGGTTTGTGGGCTTAATCCCGGGACACCTCCTGCTTCGTGACACCTGGTTTGTTCGTGTAGGAGCTCCCAGGCTTGGCCCCGGGTGGTTGGCTTCCGCGCCAGTGTTTCCTGGGTAGGACTTGCAGAAGGGGCTCCCAGATGACTTGATCGTGCGGTGCGGGGGAGACGCGCCGGGACCAAGCTCTCGGATCGGGCCCTCGAGGGGATAGTTCACTTGTATCAGCCACACTCGCTGACTTCAAATCAGGGAGCTGGGAACAGAAGCAACTTTACTGCTCGGCCTTCCCAAATGGCTCGGGCCCGGCCCTTCCCCACGCGATGGGCCTTTGCTTCCAATTATTAACGCACTAAAGTAACCCTGGGCAAGCGGGGCGGAGGGGCGGAGGATTGTGCGCTTTTCCCAATCGACTGCACAAAATCCCCTTTCAAAAGCTGCAGAAGCAGCCGAGCCGAGCACACCCCTGCCGGGTGTATTTTATTTGGACCAGCGTTTTAAGAGCCGCGAAAGCCGCACTGTCCAGCCGGTTCCTTGCTGTTCAGAAGGGACCCAAATCTGAGACAGGCTGCGGTGGGAGGAAGAAAGCAGAGACGTTGTGCTAGGAAGGTAATTTTGCAGAGGTGCAATGTGTGTGTATGTGTGTGTGTGTGTGTGTGTGTGCCATGTATGTAGCACATCGCACAGCGTGTGTCCATAGACACACAACACATACACATATCTAAAGCTATACATATATCCAGCTCTATGATTCTATGATTCTATATAGCTTACAACACATACCTATCTACTACGTCTATTTTATTTTTATCTATCTATACTTGATACGAAATACTTTCTGGGTGTGCGTATCACACATCCACCCCATCTGTATATGCCTATATACACCCATGCATATATTATAGATACATACTGACCTCCACAAATATATTATTTATATTTTATTTTACTCTATCTATAATTCAGAGGCAATCATTTATGCTTGTACATCACGCCACGTGCCTTCCCCCAGACTCTCATGAAGGTTGGGATCGTGGATTATTTCACAGGGAAACACCCACTGACTCCCGGGAGCCAGGAGGGAAGGAGTGGGCTTAGTTTGTTCATTCGCTACACACGCACACGCACACACGTAGTCTTCTCCTTCCCTGCAATGCCTTTGTAGCGCTTGGTTTGCGTTCAGCGCTCTGCCAGCAGGAGAATTTCAGCCCTGGCACATCTGTATGTCTTGGACATGCCTGTCTGTACTAAATAGGGGAGCTTGAAAGGCGCGCTTAATAATGCATAAGGCCGTAGTTGAGGATCAACCCTGGCTAATGCGCATTGGCATGATCGGCCAGGACCGTTCCCTTTCCGCGATCGCGCCAGGGAATAATGGGCCAGAGGTGAGGCTTGAAACTTCCAGCCTGTTTCGCAGGCAGCTCGCGGGGCAGGAGGCGCATTTCTCCGGCAAATGACACCGGGGCGTCGCAGAAAGGGAGACGCGCGGTTCTCGGGCTTCTTCAGGGTGAATCCAAGTGCGCATTGCCATGAATCATTCATTGCGGTCCCTGGGAAGGCAGAGCCGCCCTGAGCCCCAGCCAGCACGTGCCTTCGGCAAAGGGGGCCGCGGAAGGAGGGCGCGCACGGGACAGGAGGTGGGGGTGGGGTGCTTGGAGGCCCGACTCTCGAGATGGGCCCCGCACGGCTGGGAGAGAGGGGGAGGAGGGGCGATCCGTGCCAGGCAAGGTAAGCGAGGAGCGCGCTCCCCTGGGAGACGCACCGGTTGCGTGAAACGCCCCTTGCAGCCGCCCCCAAGGCCGGAGTTAGACTCCCCCCTCCCATTCAGCCCTAGCCCAGCTGGCGTGTGTCCCGGGGGTCCCTAATGCACAGGCTGAGCCTTGGCAATCCCCCCACGGGACACCCCCTCCCCCCCCGCGGGCCTCTAAGACTCACTTGAGACTGCTGCTCCAAATCCGAGCCGGCATCTTTAAGGGGGAGGAGAAGGAAGGGGGCTGCTGAATGACCCCCCCCTACCCTCCACCCCATGGAAGCGACCCATTTCCGCCGCCGCCTCTCCGGGGAGCCCATTTTGCGGCCCCCCCGCTATGAATTATTTGCAGCCTTTGCCAGTGGATAGGAATCAGCCCGCTGGTGCGTAAAGAGCCGCTGGCGCAGCCGGCCCGCTGGCGCGACCTGCACCCCTCCATTGCGCACATGGGTGCTGCGTCCCCTCTACCCTTCACCTCTTCCTCGCGGGGACACGAGGGGCTTCCCCAGCCCGGCAGCCGGCGGAGCGGTGGATGGAGGAGCGAGCCTCCTTTAGGCACCAGGCATGCACGGAGCAGTGAGCTCACCCGGGTTATAAATATCTCCGTGCCAGCGCTGCGCTCTGGAGCTCCCTCGCTCGCTGCAGCCAGGGGGGCGATGCCTTCTGAGCGCAGCTAGCCGCGCCAGAGCGCACACAGGGCAGCAGCCTGGCACGCAAGATGCGCTGGGAGCCCGCCCGGCTGGAAGGATGAGCTTGTCCTTCAGCTGCCTCCTCTCCTTAGGCCACCTGATCCTCATCGCCGCGGCTCAGCAGGAGCGACTGGCCCCCGGAGCGCAACTCCGACCGGCTGCCGGCAACACCTCCTCCGTTCCATCACCTGCCGCCTTCTCGGCAGCCCAAGGGAGCGGGCCGGAGAGAAGCAGCGTCCAGTGGAGCCCATCGGGGCGCAGGACGGGCAGCCTCTATTGCCGGGTGGGCATTGGCTTCCATCTGCAGATCCACCCGGATGGCAAAGTCAACGGCTCCCATGAAGCCAACCTCTTAAGTAAGTTCCCTTCTCTGCCGGGAGACTCCCGCTTTGCCACAGGGGCGCAGGGCACCCCAGTCCCTTGGCTAGAATCCCCTCCCAGAACCACAGCACTGGGGCCATCGGGGCGCAGAGGCCAAGTTCTGCCTGAACGCCTTGCCGGCCGTGAGCACGGAACTAGTTAACACTGAGCCACGCCACGGGAAGGGGGGGGGGGGGCAATTTTAAACATGCCATATTGTATCTTTCCCCGAGTTGGGTTTTTTCCTTTTCTGCCCTCGTTTGATTCCCCCCCCCCTTTTTTTTTGTTTACACCCGGGGCTAGAGATTAAGCAACACAAAACAAATCTGCGTCAAATAAATGGCAATTAGAAGTTGTAAACATCCAACTAGTTGATGAAACAAATCCCAGCAACGATGATAATTTAAACCAGGTTGAAGGTTTTGAATAATAACGGTGCGCGCATGTTCGCCTTGGGATGGCTGTTGTGAGTGTGCATGAGTGTGTGCGCGTGTGTAAGAGTTATAAGAAAAAGAAAAAGTTCACAAAAGGCCTAGACAGTAGAGAGAAGCAAAAACTTAGATTTGAACGCCTGGGGCACCGTGTTCATAACTCTGTTTGCAGGCAACAAGGTTTGTATGTCCTGTTGCAAAGTTGGCCAATACTGTAAGTCCTATTTTGAATACAATAAGAACATAAGAAGGGCCATACTGGGTCAGACCAAAGGTCCATCTAGCCCAGTATCTTTGTCTTCCTACTGTGGCCAATGCCAGGTGCCCCAGAGGGAGTGGAAGGAACAGGTAATCATCAAGGGATCCTTCTCCTATCATCCATGTCCAGCCTCTGACAGAGACCAGGGACACAATTCCTACCCATTCTGTCTAATAAGCAGGGCTCCACACTTAACATAATCTACTCGCCTGTGGCAAGTAGATTTTAGCCCAGTGTGGCCGTGCAGCGCGGTCAGCGCATGTGTAGTGCGGTCTGCGCATGCGTAGCATGCGGTAGTGTGCAGCTGGCGAGCAAGTCTCACCGCTGCTTGGCCAGCCCTGCTAATAAGTATTGATGGACCTAACTTCCATGAACTATCTAGTTCTTTTTTTGAACCCTGTTAAAGCCCTGGTCTTCACAACATCCTCTGGCAAGGAGTTCCACAAGTTGACTGTGCTCTGGGAGAAGAAAAACGTCCTTTTGTTTGTTTTAAACCTGCTACTTATTAATTTCATTTGGTGATCCCTAGCTCTTAGGTTAGGGGAACAAGTAAATAATTTTCCTTAATCACTTTTTCCACACCAGTCATGATTTTACAGACCTCTGTCATCTCCCTCCTTAGTCTCCTCTTTTCTAAGATGAAATGTTCCAGTCTTTTTAATCTCTCTTCATATAGCACCTGTTCCAAACCCCCAGTAGAATTAATTTCACCCTAATGTCTCATCTCCAGCCAGTCCTAGGAGGACAGGCTCATCAATACATACTGTGAGTCAATGCGCCTATTCCCCTGCCCCCGTATCCCGGGCTGCTTAGAAATCACACAGAGGAGAGCCCGCAGACTTTGTGAGCGATGAGGAAAGCCCTCCAAGTAGCCTTGGGCAAGTCCGCTTGGGTTTGATTTCTCTGAGTCACTCTACACTTAAGGTTTTTACTTCACTTTCACCACCTTGGTGTGCCTCATTTCCTTCATAATGGATAAAGGGCTAGTGGATCCACTGCGCGGAGCAGGCTCCAGTCCCCCCTGAAATCACGGAGCTGTTCCCTTTGACTGCGCTACTCTTTGCCTCGGCGGGTCTTATTGGCGTGTTGCCAGCTGGGATGTGTGCACGTTCTATCCGTGCGTTCTATCCGTGCGTTCTATCGTTCCATCGCTCCCTCCAAGCGTTCTATCCCGGAACGTACACACTCGCGCGCGCCCGCGGACAGACTCCAGGGCTATACATCAGGCATAGATTGGATGATGTGGGTTTGATAGTCCCCGGCCCGGGAGGGCAGGCTCCGCTGGTCCCTTCAGGCCTCCGGACGTGCCATACAGACCGTGTGGAGATGGTTTCGGTGCAGCCCGAGGGAATGGGGGTGTCAGCGGCTTTAGCTGCAGACATCCATGCAGAGCCTACGTGGCTGTCAGTGAGCGGCAGGGAAGAGGCGCCCGAGGCACAGGCGATGTGGATGCTGATGGCATCAATGCAACGGTGTTGACTCCATGGGGAGTCCAGGGGCACGTCCCTAGGAGGCGGTGTCTGGGTCGGGTTCCTTCAGTCTGCAACGCTGGGGCCGGAGCGCTCCTAGACTGGCAGCGCTCCGCAGGGAGTCGGGGGCAGCTACCCTGCGAGCAGCCGGGGACTGGGCTTCCCGGGAGCAGAGGGCAGGGCGGGGTGAGCCTGCCCGATGCCTGCTGTGGTCCCAGGGGAAAGTAGCCGGTGATCGCGAGCCCCAGCCCGTCCTGGGGAAGCCCCCCTGGAGAAGTCCCCAGCCGGCCTGGGCACCAGGGCGCAGCGACCCTGTGCTCGCTGGGTTGGCGAGCTCGGGGCGGTCGAAGCTGATGCGGCTTCACTGGGCTGGGCCCCGGACAGATGCAGCCCCCGCAGGTCCCCCAGCGTCCTACTGCAGCTTTGCTTGCGGTCAGGGGTCTTCCAGATTTAGCGGCTCCTCGGGCTGGGGGTGCGCAGGCGGCTTGGGAGGCAGGGAGCCCCTCTCCCCTCCAGCACCCCCTTCAGCACTCCCCTCTACCTGGGACACCCCTCCAGTCCTCACTCCTCCGTTCCCCTATTGCCACTGGGTCCCGCTGCCTACTCCCCCGTCTCCACCACACCCGGGCTCCTTAGAAACCCCTAGGAGGAGAGACCCCGGAGTTTGTGAGAGAAGAGGAAAGGGAGCGCCGACCCAGCCCCATTGCAAACTCTCCCGGGGGGGGGGGGGAGGGGCGGAGGTGTCAGCTCGCCCAGTATTGGACCCACAATGAAGGAAACACTCCAGGATTACCGGGACGGGGTTTCAAAACTGCCCGGTATTGGCCTAGCTGCTTCTGTTGAAATCGCTGCTGAAAACGTCTCCGACCAGGAGCAGAATTAAGGGCACCCAAGGGAGTTAACTTATTTCCTGTTAATGCAGCATTTTCATCGCTGCTCCCTGTATGAATGATACTGGACCAAGCTTCGTTTTAAAATCTGTCACATCATGAGGCTCCCATCACCTCTCCTGAGACTTTCCTGGAATCTAAGGCATTTTATTGTCAGCATTTCATGTATTTATTTGATGTTACACAGTCTACTTTGTTTCAGTAGACTCTAGGTTTCATTGTATGTATCTCTTCACCTGATTGCCAATTTTAGATTGCCCCCCCCACCAGCTGTAAGTTTTACCTTTTCCCCCAAATGAATCTCCTTATGTCTCTTGGTCTTATCTCCTCTGGCCTTTGTTGATATTCAGTTTCACCCAATTCATCTGCTACTTTCATATACCAATTGTTTATTCCCTCACCCATATCATTAATAAACAATGAGTAGTTCTGAGTCACTTTAGAGACTAACGTGCATGCATCTGACGAAGTGGGTCTTTGCCCACGAAAGCTTATGCTCCTACACTTCAGTTAGTCTATAAGGTGCCACAGGACTCCTCGTCGCTTTTAGAGACTAACATTATATATATA